CCATGTCCAAACTACATTCCCCTCCTCCAGAAATCCCTTCTACACTTTATCTGGCATAATAAGCGGCATAGAATTGCTCGCAGCGTGCTACTGTCTTTGCGCTCTAGAGGAGGCCTAGGGGCACCGGATATCGTGACCTACTACTATGCTTCTCACCTCCGTTTTATTCTGTCATGGTCCACTCAGTTTCCTCCCAACTTGTGGACTGAGATCGAGTCCTTACAATTGACTCTGACTGATCCTTGCTCTCTCCTCTGGTCATCCTCGACAGTGGACCCTGCCCCCTTTCGTCATCTCTTCCTTGGCCCCATGCAATTTTCTAGGAGTATTTGGCGGAAATGTAAGACCAGGTTTGCACTGACCTCAGACTGCTCTCCACTGACTAATATTCTCTTTAATCCCAATCTTCCAGATAGTTTTTGTCCGTATCCCCGGTTGCTCCCTTGGGTCAAGGCCAGGTTTTTCCAATTGCGCCACCTAGTACACCCCATTACTCAGAAGTTGGAACCGTTCTCATACCTCCAGAAAAAGGATCTGCCCTCCCAACATTTTTATATATATATCTTCAGCTACACCATTTTTTCTCCACCATGTCCCCCACTTTGACTCTTGGGAAACCTTTGCCCTTTGAGCATCTATGTATACAGGGCCCACATCAAAGGGGTATAATTTCCATAACATAGAAACTCTTAATGGACGCTACCCCCCCCCCCCCCTTTCTAGCGACACTCACCATTACATGCGCAAGTGGTTCCAGTTTCTACAATGTGACATCGATCTAACACAGTGGAAGAAAATTTGGGAAAACGCATCTAAATCCTCTGTCTGTGTGGTTTATAAAGAAAATACATACAAAATTCTGATATTGTTTTACAAAACCCCTGAAGTTATTTATGCTTTTAACCCAAGTGCTTCTTCTGCCTTCTGGCGTTGTGGGAAGGACTTTGGATCCCTCTTCCACATTTTTTGGACTTGTAGATCCATTGTCCCTTTTTGGGAAGAGGTTTTGTCTTTTTTACAATTTTTATTGCATACCTCTCTCCCCTTTGAACCTCTATACTTTTTATTGGGTTTGATGTTTCCAGGTCTTCCCAAGGTGTCCAGGAAACTTTCCACACATATTTTGACTGCAGCCAGAAGAAGCGTTCCTATGTGTTGGTTATCCACTATACCGCCCTCGATATCCACTTTGTTTAAAATTATTGCTGATGTACGACAGATGGAATATCTGACTGCTAAACATTCCGGCTCGACAGCTGTGTTCGAGGCAGTGTGGCACCCATGGGATAATTTCTCCCCTTCCCACCTTTCTCCAACTGTGCTGGTCTGAGAGCCTTCCCAGTGTAGCTATGTGACGTTATTATGTTTAATAAGGTTCCATGCAGATTTTACCATCAATGTGCTCTTTCTGTTTATTTTGTTCTCTTTCAACGTGTTCTTTTTATATATATATATGTGAAAATCAATAAAAATTGTTAATACAAAAAAAAAAAACTGTACTGAGTTCATAAATAAAGCTGTGTGTGTAATTGAGGTGTTATTGAGGTCTCGGGGCTCATGGGTGCTGTGGCCTGTAGAGTGGGAATCAGTGGTTTGTTTTTTGTGGCTATCGCCGTTTGCTGGCAACATATGTTACACTATGGAATTGCTGCAGGTCATAATTTGACAAGCATATGGGTGCAGGTGTACAGCCCTGAACACAGACAGTGAGCATTCAGGGCCACTTCCCCACGCCTTCACACCTGTCAGATTAAAACCTGTGTTCATACAGCTGCTGTGTCCCTACAGTGTAACAGGTGGCTCTAGCCACATAAACAACCCACTCATTCATGCTGTACAGGCCAGAGGACCTGTGTGAATGGGGCATTTTTACTTTTTTTTTTTTCCTCAGCTCGTTAATTTCAATGGGCTGCCTAATGTGTGGGAACATGCAAGAATACTGCAGGCATATTATTTTTAAAAAGTGTGTTGCACCTAACCGGGCATTGCATTTCTTTGCTGTGCTGGAAAATGTGTGTTCTTGCATGTGTTTCTGCACCACCAATGGTGTGAACAAGTCCTAAGGGCCAGTTCACACTATAAAAACAGTCTAGATGTGTTCCTGATGCATTTTTGCATGCCCTTTTGGCATGCATGTTTAGTGTGTTCTAGTACATTTTGGATGCGTTTTGGACACGTTGCATTGCATTTTTGTATCCCTTCCAGTTAGTTTTTTCTACTTTCTTTTTATTCAATTTAATTAGGGACATGTGCGTTTTAGTACATTCAAGGACGTTTCAATGCGTTCCAGTACAGTTCTGTGCAGAAACAATGCAGCGTGGTCAACTTTGTTTACAGCACCTGCAATGCACTGAAAATGCAAGAACTGATGTGAACTATGACATTGACAACCATATAACCTTCTTTCTGTGCGTTTGTGATGCCGAAAAAGCAACTGAAACACATGTAGTGTGAACTGGTCCTAAAGATTATTAGAGGTAAGGGAACGGGACTGACCAGGGATTGTGAATTTAATCAGACTAGTGGTGATATACAATCAGCAATCGTATAATAAAGTGAGATCTGAGCTGTAGCTAATAGAAAATGAGATTCACATTCACTTGATCAGTAAATAGTTAAAAAGAGTGGGGCGGTGATCCATAGATTTGCATATGGGACAGGTGATGATGGGGTGGGGGAAGGGGTCAAGTTGTATAAGGAGACAGATTAAAGAAGAGAAAAAATGTTACAATGAAATATACACAGCATGAAACTTGCACATTTCCTAATTGTCAAAAGAACAGGACGCAGGTAACATTCATCCACTTTCTAGTCATTAGGCAAAATCATAATTGATTGATCAATATTCCTGGCACTGACACAACCCAGAAAATTGATCTCCATTTTTTTAACGTTCATAAATGTCAAGGAGTTTATAATCTAAGGGCAGAAACTCAGCCATGTAACAAGGTCCAATGAACCTAACAGCATGTGTTTTTGAGTGTTGGCAGAAACACATCCATACAGGGAAAGCATGCAAACTGGGATGCAGCCATGACTGGGATTAGAACCCATGACCCAAGTGCTTTAAATTCTGAGCTCTAACCACTAAACCACTGTGGGAGACACAGTTGGAGCTACAATGTAGAATAGTTACATTGTTTAAAAATGATAAAGCGAGTGCTGGTAAAATTATATAAACTACTAAAATGGTATTACACAAGATAAATATAACCATGAACAGTAGTGCATGAACTCGTGAAAGGTCATCCACCCTTGTGACAGCGTACTACACTATTAAGCACCTTTCTGGCTCCTGTGGCTGAGCTAATTCCTCCCCAGGACCATTTGGGCACCCACCCTGATGGATGGATGGATGGATGGCTGCAGCTGGATGACTAACCCATAGCTGCCAGCATACCGCTGCACCCCCAGATGTGTGATGTGTATAACCCATGTGCATTAATATTTTTGTTCTGGTGAGTGTAGACCAGTCCCAAGGGTGGTTTATCTTTCACGAGTTCATGCACTACTGTTCGTCATGGAGAAACCACACGTGCCATTCATAGGCACTCTCTGAGTTGGTACTCTCACAAGAAGGACATTCCATTATTCAGGAATGATTATATGAACTTATTTTAGCACCATTTACCATTTTACATCATTATTGCAATTATTTGCACTTTTTGGTTTTTACATGCGTTCATTATTGATCACATGCATTTATAGCGCTGCACTTGACTTAAAAAAAAAAAAAAAAAAATAATAATATAGGTGTACTAATTATGTTACATTCTAAGTATTCTCTTTTGCTAACAGAAAAAACGCCAATGGGACAAAGCCCGTGCTTGTGCACCATCTAGCGAACATATCTGGTATTGCACCTAAAAATGTGCCAGACGCGATTTCACATTTACTAATAGTAAAGTAGACGTTTGTCAATGAGATTGCTAGACGCCGCTCAGAAGACTGACAGGTCTTGATTGATTTAATTGAGTCTGCCTGAATGTTCAGAGTCTGCTGGTAGACTCAAGTCTTAGTAAATCAGGCCATTGTGTCCATGGAAGATTTATTTTTTCCACAAGTTTCTGGAAAATGACAAAAACATTTTTTTTTTACACAAAATTGTCATTTAAAAAATGATTTATTTCTTGCACAAGCCATGGGTATATGTGGAATTACACCCCAAAATACATTCTGCTACTTCTACCGAGTATGAGGATACCACACGTGTGAGACTTTTTGGGAGCCTAGCCACATACAGGAGCCTGAAATCCAATGACCACTTTGAAAGCCTGAAGGTGCGTAACTTCTTCATTTCACTTCCTCACTACCTAACTAAAATTGGTCATTTGGGGGGGTTTGGTGCTATTCTGGCATTCCAGGGCCTCCGAAACTGTGATAGGTAGTCAGGAAGTGTAATGAGGAAATAAAGCACTTTAAAAGCCTGAAGGTGCTTATTGGATTTTGGGGTCCTGTACTTGGCTAGACTGCCAAAATTTCTCTCACCTGTGGTACCCCCATACTTGGGAGAAGTAGCAGAATGTATTTTGGGGAGTAATTCCACATATGCATATGGCTTGTGTGAGCAATAAATTATTTAAATGACAATTTTGTGTAATTTGTTTTTTTTTGTCATTTTCCAAATACTTGTGGTAAAAAAAAATAAATTATTCTATTGATTCAACATGCCTCTCAGCAAATAGTTTGGGGTGTCTACTTTCCAAAAAGGGGTCATTTTGGGGGGTGGGGGCATTTTATGCCCAGCATTAGAAGTTTATGACACACATCATTCACTCTTCTAACCACCTGAAGACCAAGCCTTTTCTGACACTTTTTGTTCACATTAAAAAAATATGTATTTTTTCTAGGAAATTAAAGTGAACCCCCAAACAGTATATATTTTTTTACAGCAGACACCCCTAGTAAATAAAACGGTGGGTGCTGCAATTTTTTTATCTCACATATTACCATATTTTTCGCTCCATAAGACACACTTTTTTCCCCCCAAAAAAGGGGGGAAAATGTCAGTGCGTCTTATGGAGCGAATATGGAGCGGCCGGTCCGATATTTCCACCGCCGCCGTGTCAGAATACCGGGCCAGCCGCTCAGCTCTGCAGCGGGACCTTATGGAGATGACTGCTGACCTTTGGGGAGCGAGTACATGATTTTGACAGGTACCCGCTCTTATTTCCGCAGAGTTGTTCTTTGATCTTACCTGTTCCTCTATCCAGCGGCGTGCTGTCTTCCCGGCTTCTGTAGTGTGGGCACTGGGCTTGACAGCCGGGTGCCAAGTGCGCATGCGCAAGAAGCGGTGCTTTTTGTGAATGGTAAGGCGGTACCTGGACACATGACAGATCCCAGAAGCTGCCGGACCAATCACAAAGCGCAAGTGCTTCTCGCCCATGCGCACTGGGCACCCGGCTGTCATGCCGAGCGCCGACACTACAGAAGCCGGGAAGACAGCGCGTGGCTGGATAGAGGAACAGGTAAGATCAAAGAACAACTCTGCGGAAGTAAGAGCGGGTACCTGTCAAATTCAGGTACCCGCTCCCCCCCCCTCCCCAAAGGTCAGCAGTCAGTTCTCCTGTACTGTCCGCAGTCTCTGGTCATCCCTGTGCTGTCTGTAGTCTCTGGTCATCCCTGTGCTGTCCGCAGTCTCTGGTCATCCCTGTGCTGTCCGCAGTCTCTGGTCATCCCTGTGCTGTCCGCAGTCTCTGGTCATCCCTGTGCTGTCCACAGTCTCTGGTCATCTCCTGTACTATGTCTGCATTCCATTAGTTCAGAATTTTTTTTTTACTGTTTTCTGCCTCTAAAACCTAGGTGCATCTTATGGTCAGGTGCGTCTTATGGAGTGAAAAATACGGTACTTACACAGCGATTTTTCAAACGCAATTTTTTTGAAAAATATACACTCTTTTTAATTTTAATGCACAAAATCACAATATATTGGCCAATTATTTGGTATGATATAAAAGATGATGCTATGCTGAGTAAATAGATACCAAACATGACATGCTTTAAAATTGCGCTTGCCCTGTGCAATGGCGACAAACTGCATACATTTTTAATATCTATAGGCAATGCTTAAAAGCCTTTACAAGCTACCATTTTAGATTTACAGAGGAGGTCTAGAGCTATAATTACTGCCCTTGATCTGATGTTCATGGCGATACCTCACATGCATGGTGCAATCGCTGTTTCCATACTGGCACAGGGTCAACGCTCACGACCTCAGGTGTGCGCGTGCGCGGATGGGTGAGGGTACTTTTTTTTTTCTTTTTTTCTTTTTTTTCTGATTTATTTAATTATTTTTGCACTGTCCCTTTAATTTTTTTTTTTCATCACTTTTAATGCTATCTCAGGGAGGGGGGGGGGGGACATTTTCTCCCACTGCTTGTTAAAGCAATCCTGCAGCTAATTAGCCACTAGGAATGATTTTACATGAAAGCCCATTGCAGGCTGAAAAAAATGATACCAGGATGATGCCTGCAGCTGCAGGCATCACCCTGGTATAACCATTCAAAGTCCAGTGATGTACCAGTACGTCGCTGGTCCTTGTTGGGTGCTATGCTATGTTCTTTTTTTCTTTTATGCAGCCTGTGGGCTGAATGAAAAAAAAGAAGAAGAAATCTCTGCCAGAAAAAGTGTGTGGTATGCCCACCATTAGAAAACCTCCCTGCATCCACCCACTTCTAATGGTGGGCACACATGAAATATAAAATATATATGCCGAAGCATAGGGGTCATCCACGGACTGGCCACCCCAGGCCCCCATGCTTTGGCATATATTCTCTTTTTTTTAACTGTAGCACTGCACACACCTACTTATGTCTATTCTGAAAGCAAGACCCTATTGCTGTCAGAATAAACAGGTCAGTGCTGCAGTTTGACATTCCTGCAAAGAAATCAACAATGGTTAACAATAAAACAAACTCAATAAAACAACTTTATAATTGAAATATCTCTGCAAGGAAAAGTGTGTGGTGGTATGCCCACCATTAGAAAACCTCCCTGCATCCACACACTTCTAATGGTGGGCACACATGAAATGTGCCAATATAAAAATGTATATGCCGAAGCATAGGGGCCATCCACCGACTGGCCACCCCAGGCCCCCATGCTTCGGCATATATGCTCTTTTTTTAACTGCAGATGAAAAATGTCATCCAACAGCGCTGCCCACATTGATTTATGTCTATTCTGAGAGCAAGTTCCTGTTGCTGTCAGAATAAACAGGTCAGTTTTGCAGCTGAAAGCATTCCTACAAACAGAAATGATTAACAATAAAACAGTAACAATAAAACAGTAAAAGTAGAACAATCACAAAAATGACAACAACAAAAAAAAAAACCTATAACTATTTTTGGTTTTTAAATTTTTTTTATTTGGGGGATTTGTACTTTTAATTTTTTTTTTTTTTTTTACTTTTTTTTTTTCAAACTTTAAACATTTTTAAAACAGATGGTAGGGTCTCTCCAAATGCGATAGCCAGTTTCCTGACTACCTAACATCTTTCGAGATCCTGTGTAAATGTGCCCTGAACTGTGCCGTGCTGTACCCTATACTAATAGTTCACTAGTGTATGGTAGAGGCGGAAGCAAGGCTTGAAGCAGAGGCCAGGTTGGCCAGGACAGGAGGGACAACAACAGCGGCTGTCACGCCTAATTCCACATTTGCTACAGGCACGACATCTTTTTTGGGGTCTTCTTTGGGTTGGGGTACAAGGAATGGTATCGGGAAAATGTTTCTCATGGAGACGGCTAACTGCATCTGAGACGGGGTTTGGGGCGCGCAGCACCTTTTGGATACAAAAGGGCCCTGATGATCTCTAACTGGAATTTTAGGTAGGATTCACTATCTCCAGTTGCTTTGTAGAGAACAAAAGCGTTATATACAGCCAATTGTAATAAATAAACAGACACTTTTTGTGTACCAGCGTCTGGCTTTTCAGGAAACTAAGTACGGCTTCATCATCTGGTCGTTGAAGTCCACCCCTACCATGTTAAGGTTATAATCGTGGACACAGAGGGGCTTCTCAACAACACCAGCTGTCGTGACAATTTGGACGGTTGTATCTGCGTGAATGGAAGACAGGAGGTAAACATCCCGTTTGTCCTTCCACTTCACTGCGAGCAATTCTTCATTTCTCAAGCAGGCTTTTTCCCCCTTTCTAAGACAGGTATTTACAAGCCGTTGGGGGAAGCCCCGGCGATTAGGTCGCACAGTGCCACATGCGCAAATTCCCAGATTGAACAAATGTCTAAATAGTGGCAGGCTTGAATAAAAATTGTCCACGTATAAGTGGTACCCCATATGGAAAAAGGATGACACCAATTTCCAAACTATTTTGCCACTGCTCCACATGTAGTCTGGGCATCCAGGGGGCTCCACGTGACTATATTTTCCCTCATAAATCCGAAACTTACATGTATAGCCTGTTGCCCTCTCACAGGTCTTATACATCTTGACCCCATATCTGGCACGCTTGCTGGGGAGAAAATTGTTTGATTACAAGGCGGCCAGAAAATTGAATGAGGGGAATCATCGATGCAGATGTTTTTATGGGGAGTATACATATCTGCAAATTTTTGGTTAAAGTGATTTACGAGAGGCCGAATTTTGTGGAGCCGGTCAAATTCAGGGTCACCCCGAGGACGACTGAGTGTGTTGTCGTAGAAGTGCATAAAACACATTATCGTCTCATATCTATGCCTAGCCATGGCAGTAGAGAACACGGACATATGAACAAGCGGGTCTGTGGACCAATACAACCACAATTGATTTTTTTTATTAATGCCCATGTTGAGGGTTAGGCTCAAAAATCTTTAAATTTGGAAACCGTAATGGGTTTCCATGTGAATGGTCTGGCAAGGTTTGAATCTGAGTTGGCGGAGATAAATTGTTGTGCATATATAAATTGCTTTGATCCACAATCAATGCATAAAGATCATCTGAAAAACAGCTAAAAAAAATCAAGGGGAGTATTTAAATTTGCTGTTTCCACCTGAATTCCGGGTTGGGCAGTGAAGGGGGGAAGTGCGGGTGCTGCAGAATTTGTGGGCTGCCAATCAGGATTTGCAAGCACATCCGGAAGGATACTAGGGGCTCTACGGGCCTGTCTGTGAATTCTTGGTGGCCGCGGGACACTACTTGTGCTTGCCACCGCACCAGCTTGTACTGCACTTATGGGACTCGCCACGTCACCAAGTGATACTGCAGTGCTGGTATGTATAAGACCAGGATGTACTAGGCCGCTGGTGCTCGCCAGTTCACCAAAAGGTAGTGCGGCACTAGTACTGACACTCTGCTGCATATGAGAGTCATCATGCATTTGTACCACCTCAGCAACCTGGGAATGGGGTCGGGTACACCTGATCTTAGCAGGGACCTCTTCTCCGTCGTCTGAGCTATCTGTCAGGGTGCCGCTGCTGTCTATAGGTTCGTATTCTGAGCCCGATTCTGCCAGTGAGTCTTCCCCTTCGCTCTCATTTGACATGCTCAGAATCCTATAGGCCTCTTCACTAGAGTACATTTGGTTGGACATTTTGGCCACTAAATTTACAGGTACCTAGTGCGACTCATGGGAAAAAGAGCGCCTGGCTGTCAGGGACTGCTTGAACCGCTACAAAAAATTTACCGACAAGTGCTAACAGAGATCAGGCCTGATTCTGTGAACACTGCGGTTTTATGTGTAATGTATCAAGTGACAGTTATCTACTGACACTGCACTTGCTGGGGGAGAAGGGGGGGGCATAGGGGCTAAACGCAGGTGCTGGCAGGTGTCGGGGCTGATCCCGCTAACACTGCGTTTCTGGGGATACTATAGTAATGTGAACGCTAGTATAGCGCTGATCTGATCAAAGATATTGATCCAATCAGACACTATACTAGCAATGGAGGTTTAGCGTGCAAGTGAGCGTGTTCCTGGCAATCAAGGGGTCAAATGTGATTACTTGTGTACTAGCAGGCAATCTGACGCTATCTGGGAGGGGCGCTAACTGACTCTAACACTATCAGAAGTCACCAGTGACACTAATACAGTGATCAGTAAAAAATCTGTTCACTGTAATCAATGACACTGGTGACAGGGCAGTGAAGGCGTTAACTGGGGGGGGGGCAATCAGGGGGTTAAATATGTCCTGGGTGTGTTCTAAACTGAATGTGTAGTGCTTTTGTACTCACAGTTCTTCTGTCTTCTTCTCTGTCTGGGACGAATGTTCCCAGGCAGAGAAGAATGACATCATATCCTGTCCTGTGTAACTTTCAACACAGGACAGGATAGGACAGGGACCGATCATCCAAATTCAGCCCGGACATCACAGGCTGAAATCGAATGATTGATCCCTTCGGGATCAAATCGTGACACCCGAGGGTCAACGGGAGCGCGCACGTGTGCGCCCCCTGCCCGCGAAAACCTCGGGAGCGCGGAGCATGTTTTAAAACGTGCTTTTGCGCAGCCGTGCCGCCCTGCAAACATTTATATGCAGTGGCAAGAGGTTAAGAACAGATAATTAATCTGATTTTAGTTTTCAGGGAGAAGTCCTCTCTGTCCCCATGTTTAGGAGGTGGAGGACATTTGTTTTCCGAAGGAGAAGAGAGGAGACCTTTTTTCAAGATGTGTATAGATTTCCAGAGATCTGTGTAGATGGTTGAGGGGCTGCATGT